CATGACACTAAGAGAATTAAACATTATGATCCGATTGAATTTATGCAAGAATTCAAGAATGTGTTCAATATTATAAAATCTATTAATATAATTTATTACATTAATTTTATAAAACACAAAGGTATACTTGAACAAAGGAAATGATATAATCTGTTCTTGGTTAGGGAAATTCAATTGTGTAACAATGCCAAATCTCTCCAGGTTGGTTTCTAAATTTAGTGTATTCTTAACAAAATTATTAAGTTTTGGTTTTGGTTTTAGAAATAAACTAGATGCGCTGGGCACTATGGCTCATGCCTGTAATCCCAGCACTCTGGGAGGTGGAGGTGAGTGGATCACCTGAGGTCAGGAGTTTGAGACCAGCCTGTCCAACATGGCAAAACCCAGTTTCTACTAAAAAGCATTCCTCTACAGGAATCAAAAAATTAGCCAGGTATGGTTGCAGGCTCCTGTAATCCCAGCTACTCTGGAAACTGAGGCAGAAGAATTGCTTGAACCTGCGAGGTGGAGGTTACAGTGAGCTGAGATTGCACTATTTCACTCCGGACTAGGTGATAGAGTGAGACCCTGTCTTAAAAAACAAAAACAAAAAAAAGAAGACTAGATGATTCTAAAGTTCATACTGAAAACAAGGACAAATCTAAACAAAACAATGACCAGGGGTCCAGTCATATCAAATATTAAAATATGTCATGGAGTCCAATAATTGATGAATTTAATTAACCATTAATTAAATTAGTATTATGCACTGTTACATAAATAGTCCAGTGGAACAGGAGAGAAAGTTCATTGATACAATAAGATACATGCTGTATTATAGAACAAAATAAGATAAAAGTGATAAGTCAGCAGAGAAAAGGTGTTTAATAAAGGATAGTAGGTCAACTGAATATCTGTCTAAACATAACTCACTTCATACACTAGAATAAACTCCAAATAGATAAATAAAGTAGTTTAATACAAAATTTCAAACTATAAAACTATTAGAACGAAATGTGGAGTATGAAGGTTTAATGGTTCAGAATCTAATATTCATAAAAGAATTAATAAATTTTACTATAAACAAGTTTTAAAATTTTCTAGCTAACAAAATAAAACCATTAGAAAAATCAAAAGACAAAATCAAACTAGACAAAGTATTTGCAAGTCATATTGCAGCTGAAGCTTTTAATCTTCAGAATATGTAAAGAGCTCTCAGATATAATAAAAAGAGTAATAATTAAAAAGAAAAAAGGCAGAAGATATGAATAGAAAGTTCACAGTAAAAAACATAAATGGTTTTTAAAATACAGAAGGGCACACGTAAGAGATAATCAAATTAGAACAATACTGAGATACCATTTTTCATCTATCAGATTGGTAAAAATGTTAAACATTGACAATACATTCTGTTTGTGAGGTTGGGCGGAAACTGGTAAATGGCGGGTGAGAATGTAAATTGGCACAAACTGTACGGAGGGCAATTTGGGAATACTAGCAAAGCCATAAAAGCATATATACCCTTTGAGCTATCAATCTCATTTCTGGGAATTTATCCAACTGATAAACTTGTCCAGTTACTAAGTGACAAATTATTGCAGCATTGCTTGTAGTAAAAAGTTGGAAACACACATAACATCCATTAAGAAGAGACTAATTAAATGATCCTAGTATATCCATTCAATGGAATACATGTAGATGCCAAAAAATAAAAATATTTTTATATATTATAAGAGATTTGGGATATATTGGTACTTGACATGGGATGCAAGAGGTATTTACAGTATGCTACTTTGTATGACGGAAGTGGGTGGTGATAAGTATATGCCTTCATACATGTTTGTTTTCTGTGGGAATCTCAGGAAGGTAATAAAGGTGGTTATTACAGGGGGGCGGGGAACTCAGTGGATGGGGACAAAAATAGAAATAAGAACTTTTCCTGTGCCCCTTTTGATACTGCTTATTTTGTAAGCTACTGAAATGTATTTCCTACTCAAAGTTACTTGATAAACATTGAAAGCTTTGCAAAGTTAGCTCGCAGTCACTGTGGAAACGGAGGCGGGCAGAGGGAAGGAATGGCTCCTGTGCTCCAAGGAGGAGCCTGGAGTGACCCCTCAGAGTCTCTGCTCACAGGGGAAGGGCTGGCCGACACTCACAGCTCTGCAAGAATAAGCAACTCCAGACCTTGCAGCCAGCCCTGAGTCAGCACCCCCAGACCACGCAGGCAGCCCTGAGTCAGCACCCGGCCCTGCCCCTGCCTGCAGAGAAGTGGCTTTCTCAAGGTGAGTCCATGAAGAACGTGCTTCTGGCCTGAGCTCACCTGTCTGGGGCAAAACTCAGGCTTTACCAACTTTGCCCAACTGGAGGACACACCCAGCTGTCTGTGGCAAAAGCCAAGGTTGTGTCCCAGAGTCAAAGCCAAATAGAGACCCGAGGAGACTGTCCAGACAACCCAGCACAGTAGAGGAACAAGAGAGCTTCCGTCAGCCATTGCCTAGTCAGACGGTCCACTCCCTTTCCTTCCTGGGAACACAGTGTAGCCCAAGGAAAGACAGTGTGGGTTTCTGTGTTAGGTAAGGGAGCAGCTTCCAGCTCTGATACTCGACAGTTAAGGGTAACTCCAGGCAAATCACTGAAGCTCATGAGAACTCAGTTTACTAATCTGTGGAATGGGTACACTTGTGCCCAACTTAAATAATTCTTGGGAGGATTAGAAATAATGCATGTAAAGCGCTTGGCATTTTGTGCTTAGTTCAGGGTAACCATGTGGGCTCCATGTGTTAATATATCTTTCACTTTCAGCTCTGCCTAGTGGAGACTTCCACAAGGAGAGATCTCTGAGCAACTACCTGGCTATTACCTAGCCTCATTAGATAACTGGTTATGTTCATATAGTCTAGGTTGAGCCAGATGGGACAAAAGGACTAATTCCGGAATGGCAAATACCCTAACCATGTGTACATGTCACATTTCTACTCTATGCTTACGGTCGACATTGCTATCCTACCCTAGACATCACTAGTCTACCCTACGACATGGAGAATTCTTCTCAATGGTATGCTCCAGACAGCCATTGTCCACTGGCCATCATGCAGGAGAGGTGAAATCCACTTCGCAATTCTAGATAGATATTTAAAGCCCCATCACAATCTTGCTTCCTCTGATTTCTCAGATTCTATCAAAAATGACAACAGAAAATACTTTCAACATTTAATTTTAAAGAACATTAAATAGATGACCATTTTTGCATTATTTAATTAACATCAAAACGTTTGTCTTTGGTGTGAGGTGGACCAGGTAGTGGTCAGAGCTTTCCCGCAAGGTCCCGCTGTACCTGGAGGGACTCTCACCTGGCAGGAACTCGACCCCTGCCTGGCTCACCTTTCATCAGAAGATTCTGTAGGACCCACAAATGTTCTCCTGCATTTGCGCTTTTTATTTTATTTCTTTATTTTGGCGACAGGATCTTGCTCTGTCACCTAGGCTGGAATGCAGTGGCACAATCACAGCTCACTGCAGCCTCAAATTCATGGGCTCAAGCCACCTTCCTTTTCAGCGTCCCGAGTAGCTGAGACTACGGGCATGCGCCACTACATCCAGCTAATTTCTGTATTTTTTGTAGCGATGGAGTCCCAGAGGCTGGTCTCAAACTCCTGGAATCAATTTATCCTCCTGCCTTGGCTTCTCAAAGTGCTGGGATTACAGGATTACATGTATGAAGCACTGTACCCAGCCTGCATTTACACTCTTGAAATAAATTCTGTGTATCTAGTTTACTTGGCACTGGTTCTCTAGGCTCTGATGTGGAGGCTCTGAGGAAGGGATGGAGATGTTTATTAAGTACTGACTGTTTGCTAGACAATCTGTTTAATCCCTTCTTTTTACCCGTCTTTTGAGGTAGGTGCTACCACCCCCATTGCACAGTGGTAAAATTAAGGCTCAGAGAGTTTAAATGGCTTCTTCCCAAGGTCGCAGAGCTAGTCAGCTGACTGAGTAAATTTCTTGCCTGTTTAAACAACAGTTATGAGGCAGAACAAACGCTCCCAAATGAAACGTGTCCGGATCTGATTTCTGTTTATTCCTTAACTTGAAGTGCTGGAATATAGTTGGGGGCATAGAGTGGTAGAACTCTTTAATTTGGTTGGACATGGTTTCACAATCAAAGCTCGTTTTGTTTGGTTCTCATTTCTGCCGCACGGTGGAATGGTCAGCGCACATCCCTATGGAGCCACCCACCTTTCCACAAAACCCTCCGAACTGGTAAAGGCTGGATCATCAGGGAAGTTCCCACTGTGCCTTTTTCTGCCTGGCAGCCCTCTGCTTCACTGATGAAGGTTCAGCCAGGACTCCTGGGCTGCCTCTCAGTCAAGGCCAAGCTGACTCACAGCCACTTGTGACAGTAAGTAAAGCATCCCCACCATCATCATCATCTGACAAAAACTGATCCCACCCCAGTCCTATGCTGGGGTCTGGGTGCTAAAGACAGGCTCTCTCCTGAGTGTGCCACTGCCTGGGCCTCACAGCGAGCCATGTGCTTGTACTTATGTGATGTATCTTCCTTTATCCACACCGTGGATTATACCAACCTCATGGGATCAATGCTGTTATTATTTCTTTGGGGCAGTTTTTACAGCTTTATTTAAACACAAAACGTACACATGAGCTGTCTACACATTTTCTTTGCTGCGTAGCCTGGCATTGGAGTTGGTGACTCTGATGGCCAGCTGGGCGAATCTTTCCATGATGGATTTGCAGTTCTTGGAGGAAACATCGTGAGCCATCTCAGCACAGTAAGATATTTTGCAAATCAGCAGCACTTCCAGCTCCTTGACATGGACCAGGAACTTCCGGAAGTCACTGGGAAACATGTGCTTTGTTGTTATTTTTGTTTTGTTTTGTTTTTTTGCTCCCATAACCAGTGCTAGGCATCAAGATCTGGCCTTTGAACCTTCTACTAACCCTGTTGTCAGTACTTCCAGTTCCCTGCCAGTTACTCTTAATTTTGACGTATCATTCTGACTGGTGCCGGATGAACTGCTTAGTTCTCCTTTTGACGATCTTGGGCTTCACAAGGGATCTGAGGGTGGCCATGATGCTGAGGAAGAGATGGCTGCCACCTCCGTAGGGAGCACCAAGGAGGAGGATAAATGCTATTACTAGCCCTACTATACAGATGAGTAAATTGAGATTCCAGATGGTGAAGTCGCTTGTATAAGGTCATACCCTTAGCAAGTGCATCTGGATTTACGTTCTGGGCTCTTGACCAATCTATGTGGCCTCTAAAGGACACCTTCATTAGAGACTTGCATTCGTTAGATTATGTCTAATTATGAGTAACAGAACAGAAAACAAATAACAGTAGTTTAAGCAGCACAGATGTTTACTTCTTGGTTGTGTCCAAGACATTCTGAGGAACCGTCTGGGCTGGTACGGTGCCCCAGAGTGTTGATGAATCAGCTTCCTTCTCTGTTGTTCTGTGCTGTGTTGGTTTCATGCCTAAGGTCACCTCATGGTCCATGGTAACTGCTGGAGCTCCAGTCATTGCATTTCACTCTTGCCAGCATAAAGGAAGAAACAAATTAACTTGTGCATGCCTTTTCTTTAAGCATATTTTCTAGAAGGTTTCAACCACTTCTAATTAGATTGCATTGGCCAAAACATAGTCACATGCAAGGGAAACGGAAATATTTATTTGGGCTAGTTATCTGTTAAAATTTGGTGTTCTGTTAGGAAAGACGAAGAGGAGGCTGAACACACCTCATTATTTTTTTATTTGAGGCCAAAACAAGGGCTTGGGCTGGGAATTAATGTATTCAATGATGAGTAAGTTATTTATTAATTCTTAAAACTATTATGTAGAAAGGGTTTCCTCTGTGGTCATCTGATTCTCCATCCTGGGGACCCAGGGTAACTAAGGCAGACACAGTCTCTGCTGCCATATTCTTACAGTTTATAGTCATACAGTTAGTCATGCCTCTGATTTTAATCCAGTTTGTGACTCCAATAAACCACATCCTTCTCCAAGCATTGGTTTTTCCATCTGCAGAACTATCAGATCCTGTAACTGATAAGGACCTTCTAGCTAGAGTATTCCCTGATGAGATGTCTCTGAGATTTAGGAAAAAGGCAGGATGATAAAGAACTTGGTTCCATGTCCTCCCCAGGGATAACAATCACTAACTCTCAGGGTTATTATTTAAAATGGGTGGGTCCCCCTGGGGAAGTGCCCAGAGAGGTGCCTGGCAGAGAAGGGAGTCTTTTCTTTATAGGTCTCCCTGTCTCTTCTAAAGAAGGAAATTCCCTGGTCATGTAAGGAGAATGCATTTGGGGCTTTGGGACATCCAGAGAGTGTGGGGTGCCCAGGGCTTGGAGGGCTGTCAAGGGAGGTTGGAGGGCATCAATAGTCTCCCATTCACTCCCCACACTACCCTGACTCTGGGAAATTCTCCCATCCTAGGGAAGAGAATCTCTGCAGCCCTTTTATTCAGGATAGGAAGTCTCTCTGAGAGGCAGCACGTGGATTCAGAGCCTTTCAGCCTGAATTTAAATCCTGGCTGTGTCACCCACTAGCTTATAGTATGGGCAAAATTATGTCCCACAAATTCATAGGATGATATATCCTAACCCCTAGCACCTCAGGATGTGACTGTGTTGGAAGACAGGTCTTTACAGAAGTCCTCAGGTTAAAATGAGATAACTAGGGCAACCTAATCCAATGTGACTAGTGTCCTTACCAGAAAACCTGGCCACAGGTACAGAGGGAAGGCCATGTGAAGACACACGGAGGAGACAGTCATCTACAAGCCAAATACAGGCCTCAGAAGAAAGTAACCCTGCTGACATCTTGGTCTCGGACTTCTGGCCTCTGGACCCGTGGAGAATCCATTTCTGTTGTTTGAGCCCACACTCTGCATTATGGCAGCCCTAGCAAACTACTACAAGCTCTGAGATGTGACACTTTTCTCACCTAAACTCTGTTTGCTTTCCTCATTTACAAAACTGCCAGCATAGTCACATCTCCCTCAGAAGACTGTTCTGAGGCTTTCAATACGGAGAGCACCGAGAACAGGGTGGGGAACAGGATTTGCTCTCATTAAGCATAAACTACGATTATAATGGTGAGTACCTGCCCACCTCCTCCTCAGACCTCAAAGGCTGAGGTTCCTGTCTATGCCTCCACCTCTAGCATTCAGTGGAATTGACACTGTGCTCCTAGCAGGTCACAATGTTGGACTAACCAGGCCTGAGCTGACTAAACGCATGATAAATGAATGAATGCAGCCTTACAAGTTTACTGGAACAAGCATTTCAATCAACACCAGTGGATATCTTAACTGTAAACGCTTAAAGGCAGAGATGAAACTGTTGGTAGTGGGTAAAGTACACGAGTGCCCAAGGGTGAAAATAGGGATTTCTTTTGGGGAAGAGGCAGCAATTCTAGCAGTCACTCCCACAGGAGGTAAGCCAGGTCAGAGACGCTGGCCCCAGGCCAAAGGCTTACCTGCATCTTGGAAGGCTGACGCAGCTGCCTGGAGAACGTGGCCGACGAGTGGGACGTGACTGAGCAAGCGGGCAAGCAGGTGCAAGGTGGCAAAGCTGTCAGAGAAGCCAGGGAGACACCTGTTGGGCTGGGCCACCCAGAAGAACAGTGCCCTGCACCAGCGTTCTGCAGAGGAGCCCCCAGATACCACCAGTAGAGCTGATGGGGGCTGAGCAAGGCCGGTGAATGTGATGTCACCCGGCTGCCTGGGGGGTTGCCCAGAGCAGGGCCTACCCTCCAGGCCTGGGACTGACTCCTAGGCCTGGCTCCTCCTCCTACCTTGCCCTAGGGAACTTCATAAAAGGGTTCTTCAGCACCTATCCACAATGGGATTTCTGTTGCTTGGATATAAGACACATGTGAAATATCCCATTGTATTCTCCCTGCACAAATTTTTAGATTCTGAGCCACACAGAGAGGTGTTAGCTGGTACTTCCTTCCCACCACTGCTGGGGAAATCACTGGACAAAAGGGCCTGTCCACCCCAAACGTCCCACATGAGGCTTTCCTCTTCCACTTTGTCTACTGAGTTTCTGCCTGAGCCTTCCCCTTCCCAACCCTCCTAGTTTTCTGGTTATGGATTCCTCAGCTCCTCCACCTATGATACCAGAACCATTCTGGGAACTGAGGAAAGCAATCACGGAATCTAGGAATCCCGTTGTGCCCAGAGTTGGGGGTTGGAGCCACAAAGACGTCTGGAGAAGATGAAGTTTACACCCAGCTTTGTTGGAAGTCAAAGGCAGCCACCCGAAGTCAGCTTGCCATCTGCCAGCATGCCCACTCATCTCATCAACATTTATTAAGCCTCTGCAGTGTATAGCCAAGCTCTGGATGCTGGGACATACTGGAGACCAGCAAATGTTTCTCAAAGAGCTAACCCCCAGAGGAGAGACACGCCTGCAAATAGAAAATGGGGCTTACATGTGACATTGGGTTTCAAAATACCTTTTGCAGAGTCCTCCTGAGATGCTGGGACACATAGGCAATGGAGACTTGGCAGGAGAGGCCAGCCTAGAAGGACTCCAAAGGAGGGGCCTACAGATGTGTTTTGAAGAACAAAACATCCGCAAACTTCCCACGCCTGCCAGGTAGAAGCCATCTGCACACACATTCTTCCCCCACACAACGTATATCCACCCCATGTGTAACTGTAGGCCTCTTCCTCCACATTGACTGTTAGAAATCATTTAAACTGTCCCTGAAAACAGAAATAGTCTTCACCTGTTGTCCAGAGGAGTAAAGGAAGTTTTTCCCCAGTGCTTTTTGGGGAATTGTCCTGTGTTACTTACTCTAGATAGAATTGTCTAGACAAATAAAGCAGTAGACTAACAGAATGTCTACAATGACGGAACTGTGCGCTGGCCAGTCTCAGTAGCCATTGGTCACCTGGGTTACTGAGCACTTGAAACATGGCTTATTTTAAATTTCTTTTCCTTTGAACAAATTTAAACACAGACCCGTGGTGGCTACGGGCTGTTGTATTAGACGGTGCAGGTCAAGCCATCGGAGGCTGCTCCTTCGAGGGACTGCAGCCACTCTGTTATCATGGATGTTTATTCTCAAGACCTGTTTTCTACTCGGGAGCTTAATGCACTGGTGCTCTGGCCCTTGCAGTGATGCAGGGATCCCGACACTAGGGTGGTGGGCAGGGATCTGAGGCCACACATTCAGGTGTGCAAGAAACACCTGTTTTCCTTACTTTTTAAAAAATCCATAGGGACTTGCAGCCCCCATTATGCTGGCTCAGTGGAAAATTCAGTCTCTGTCATTAATGGACACCCAGCTCCTCTGCCCCAGTGTCAGGCAAAGTTTCACGGGTTATGTTACAGAGTGACAGTCTCTGGGGAACTCAGGGTTTCTTCAGAGCAGGGGCTGCTGCCTGGGCACCAGGCTCTCCAGAGAGGTGGGTTGAGGACATAGCATCCCCTCTACCTCCCCAGGGCAAGAGCAAGCGGCCCCGCTGCTAACAGAACCCCGGACCTTGGTCCCAATTCAAGCAAGCAAAGCGTTCTTCCTTCTCCACCTTTAAGTTTCTCTCCTTCCCTTCTGGGATTCTTGATGCAAATCTTTCATGGCTTAAGTTTTATCAAAACAGAAGCCAGCAATGACTGTGTCTTGCCTTGGGCCCAGTAACCCTAAACTGCAAGTCAAGTGGGCTCAAATGGCCAGGTTTCTTCCCAAGAGCCCTGCTGAAAAAAATAAAAAGAGCCTCACTCTCTAATATTGCAATACATTATCCTTCCTCAGAGGCCCATCACTCACCACATGGAGAAAAGGGGGAAAGACCTGGGAAAGACATTTGCAGAAAAGGAACAGTTTTGTCAGGGCCTGTGGCCAGCAGGTTCCAGCGTGGCAGCCTCCGAATGATACTAGTTGCAATGGTGGCAGCTTCCTGAGTGCCTGCTGGGCAATCATCTCCATAAGTCCTCATGACGAGTTGGATATTGGCATGCCCATTTCAAAGATGAGGAGACTGAGGTCCCAACAGGTTAGACAATGTAGGTAAAGTCTGCAAGGATTAAACCTAGGTCTCTTTGTCTAGAAGCTTCAGCTCCTGCAGGCAGCATGGCAACAGAGGATGTAAATGAGTGTAAGGAGAGAGGCAAGACAGCAATTTGCCTTGGGAATGGGGTGTCTCAGAAGTGAGAAGCCAAGCCCTCAGCCAGGAGATGAGTCAAGTCATTCAGGTGACTCCAGAAACCCAGAGACCAAGCCAGCCTGGCATCCCAAACTGCTGGCCTGCTGCTAAACACGCACACCTTCCTCAGCTTCTATTAATAATCTGCCAGGAAGCCTCCCACGGTTACTCACCTAATAATTAAACACATGATCACTCTTTCAAAGAGTCCTGGCCCACCACCACCAAGGGGGAAGGGAGGAGGTGAGATCAGCAGCAATGCCCTTTCTCCCTTTGAGGAGAGGCAGTGTGGACTGGATTGTGGTAAGACTGGATCTGCAATCATAAGACCAGGGACCTAGAGCCAGGAACACTCTCTCTGGGTGTCAGGTTCCTCAAACTACACAGGCAGAATGTTGATTTCAAGCATTTCCCCATCAACCTTGGCATTTCCCAAGCACTTGGTTGCTTAGGAAAAAGAAACCATGGAGATTTGGGGTCCTCCAGATATGGTGGTTAGAGACAAACTTGGCTGACTGCCTGGGTTCCAGTTCCAACTCTACTTACTCCCTGGGACATCTTTGGCAAATGACTTAACTTTTTCCCTGCTTTGGCATTTCCATTTATACAGTGGGGATGATAAAAACAGTACTCTACCTTTTGGAGATGTGGTAAAGATTATGATTATCACATGCAAGTGGTTTATAACCATCCCTGGTACTTACATGCTAAATAAGTATTAGCTCTTCTCATTAGCCATGAACCCTTGGTCCAGAACTTTACCTGTCTGAAGCTCAGCTTCCCCACTGTCAAAATGTGGATATAATAATTCCTACAGTTGGATTGCTAATTGCATGAGATGATGTAGATGAAGTCCCTGTGTAGGGTTGGCCTTTAGTCATGGCAAGCCCTCTCATCTTGTTCTTTTCTTCTGAAAGGGCTTCAGGTTAATTCTAAGTTTTCATCATGGAGGGCTTACTGGACAGGTGAGACTCACAGAAGCCAGGAGAAAGTGGGGAAGCTGGTGGTAACAGGAGGTCAAAACAAAGAATGGAGCCAAAGGAGGAAAGAGCCTCCTCTCATTCTTGCAGAGCTTAACTAAAGTGGGCCCTGAGTCCTGGGGAGGTCTTCCAGCAAGGAACAGTCCTCACCACATTCTGGAGGGGTACATGGGACAAACAGCAATGGCACCACCATAGGGGAAAAAGGGAATTCTTCAAGAACTTTTCTAATAAGACGTGCTCTAGACACCATTTAATGATCATCATTCCATATGCCTGTCCAGAGATGTTGATGGTGCTGGGTCCTCACAGAAAGAGCAGATTCTTGGGAAGCAGCCAGGTCTGTTAGTCTTCCCAGCTGTGAAACTGTGAGCAAGACACTTCACCTCTCTGAGCCTCAGTTTCCTCCTGTGTAAAATGGAGATTATAATATTTGATTCACAGTATTGTTGCAAAATTCAGAAAGGAAGCGTGTATTTAGCACAGTACCTGGCATATAATAGATGTTCAACATGTATTAGTTTATTAAAGTTAGAGTTCATAATTATATTCCATTTCCATTTTTCTATCATTTGCTAACCCTTGTCAGCTGAGGACCGTGAGGCTCAAAGAGAGGAGTGACTTACCCCAGTTCCCCGTAGCTGCTGATTAGCACAACCAAGGACTTTGCAATGAAGCTAGGTTTGGCTTCAAGTCTGGGAGCTGATAAATGGCTCCAGACGTGGAGTGGGCAAGGGAAGGGGTGGGATGGGATTTTTATGACTTGCGGATGGACACAGAGATAGGACAAGCTTTTGAGATTATATGTTTTAATTGTAGGATCTCTCACTGGTAATTCTTGGAGGACAAGTATAATTACACGACATAAATGATGTCACTCATCAACAAAAAAGACATGCAAATGCATTGAGACAATGAGATACTAACTTTCATCTATCAGATGAGCAAACGTCCACCATGCTGGAGGGCTGGTGAGACGCAACCCTCCCACTGCCTGTAAAAAGGCAACTTGCAACAGCGTATTAAAAGCCTTAAAAATATGCACACCTTTGAACCAGAGATTTCCCTTCCATGACTTTAACCAAAGAAATCCCTGAAAGATGTAAATGGATATGTGGAAGTACCTACAGGATATTCACTCCAGCAGAAAGCAGAAACACTCAAAATGTCCATCAATTTGAGATGTCACATTGAATGAACTGTGGTTCCTGCTTGTGATGGAGCAAATATTATGTGTTTTTAGGAAAGATCATGTGGACTTATTGGTGGTGGTCCTGGAGGAACTCCCCGTGCGGTGGCCATGTTCCCCATCTTATCCCAGGTAGCTGCTGTATCCTTCAGTGTTCATTTTCTAATTATTCCATTATACTGTATACTTCAGTTTTATGCATGTTGTATTTTTTAATAAGAAAGTTTTTAAAAAGTGTGGTCAGATGTTTTAAGATGCAAAGATGCTCACCATGTATGGTATAGAATAAAAGAAGCAAGTTATTAAACAGTCAGTGAGTATAAGAGTGTTCTGTCATCAAACACCTGTTCATACTTGAACCCTATCCAAAATTCTAAATATATATTTACATACACATGCACACTCAGAGAATAAAGTGTGAAATGATAAGCATCAAAATACGAATGGTGATTATTTCTGAGTGGTAGTTTGGTTTATTTTAATTTCTTTTTCTGATGCATGTACGTATATACATATATGTGTATGTATTTAGTGTTTATCTGAATTTTCTAATAGTTGTACATGAAACATTTCTTTCTAAAAGTTTAATATATTTATTATGAGAGTAACAATCATTTCTATAGCATTTCTTAGTTTATTATAGCTCAAGAGAAAACAAAGTCTAATAGTTGGGTGTGGTGGTGGGCCCCTGCAATCAGTCCCAGTTACCCAGGAGGCTGAGGCAGGAGGATCGCTTGAGCCCAGGAGTTTGAGGCTGTAGTGTGATATGGTTGCACCAATGAATAGCCACTGCACTCCATTCTGGGCAACATAGTGAGATCCTATCCTTTCTCTTAAAAAAAATAATTGGTCTACTTACACTAAATGTTCATGTGCTGAAGATAAAGTGTCTGTCTTCCTGGGCAAATATATATTGACCTGCTATAAACTATGGATGGCTCATGTGTTTTAGGCAGATGTGCATCTCAGACCCACCCGGTCCTCAGTGCCATCCAGCAGGCTGTCTGGGTAGCTGTCACTATGTTTTCTCTGCTCCTGGTGCTTCCTGGCTTTGCCTCCACCTCCGTGGTGACAGCCACTGGTTGGATGTTTCCTTGAGGTCCAATAGATTGCCCATGTCACCAGATCCTGTCCAGCACTATGCAGGCCCTGTCATTGGAACCCCTTTCCTGAGCCTAGGCTAGGAGTTGGATTTCTTTTTGGTATTAGTCAAGTGTGGCTTCAGCTTCCTCATCTTCCTCATCTTCGAAATGACAGGACAGATGGGAATTCCCTCTGAAAACTCCCTGCACTCTGCACTTGTAAGGAAGATTATTAGGTGCAACCTCCCCACCTACTCAGGTGAACTCTTTGAACCTAGGTTTAAGGTAAGGGCATCAATCTGAATAACACACAGAGAGGGAGACTCTAAAATAAAATATCATTTACTGGGGACTCAGCATTGTGACGGGGATACATGTGTCATAGTGAAGTATGTGAGGATTCAGGGAGGCAAAGAAAGATGAGTTTTTAAAGGAATAAATAATGAGGAAGATTACATAATTGGTTTAAGATAATTATTCTTGACTACAAGGATCAATAAGAAGGGTGGTGTCAGTCCAGGGCTGGATAGGCCGTTGCTGGACAGATGCCCTAGCAGAAGCGTTCTTTTTGGTAACATTGCCATGGCTTTGGACAAGTTGTGTTTTTGTAGTCTTTTGTGATAGTTTTTCTTATCAGACATTTGTGCGTGAGAACCCTTTCTTTACAGTCTTTCTCAGCTCTACCTTTTAAGAGTTTATTTAACACAAGTGACTCCATTTTGATTCTGACAACTTTTATATTTCTCCCTTTTGATTAAAACCTTTTTTCAAAGTTTGGTGCAGTGGCTCATGCCAGGAACATTTGGAGGAGGATTGCCTGAGCCCGGGAGTTCAGGATCAGCCTGGGCAACATGATGAGACTCTCTCTACGAAAAAATGAAAAACAGCATGGTGACACATGCCTGTGGTCCCAGTGACTCAGGAGGCTGAAGAGGGAGGATCACCTGGGCCCAGGAGGTCAATGCTGCAGTGAGTGTGATTGCACCACTGCACTCCAGCCTGGGCAACAGAGAGAGACCCTGTCTCAAAACCAATTTTTTTTTTTGAAAGTGTCCAAAAAAAAGGCTGATGAAAAAAACGTCTTGATGAATCATCCTGCAGTTATGATCTGATTGCTCCTCAGTGCTGTGATGGACTTGTCCTGGGATGTTGTTGGTCTGAAGGGAAAGATTGGTGACTAGAAGTCAGTGTCAAAACTCTCTTAGCCACATTTGAGCAACAAGGCATCTAAGGTTTAGAGGAAGTGACATTTAGGCTAAGTCTACCTGAAATCTACTGTTAGGTTTAATTTTTTTCTGTTCTGTAGTCTTTTGGCCATTATCTCAAAGTGCAGGGACAACATCATTTTGATAGGAATCATACTTTTGCAGAAATTTGACAAGTAACAGGTACAAAGTTTCAAAGAAAATTACAAAGTAACATAAACAGTAATATGACAATCCCAGTTTGTATAAAAGTCTTGAGCTATAAAAATAGGCTTAAAGGTGGGCAGGTGTGGTGGTTCACGCCTGTAATACCAGCACTTTGGGAGGCTGAGGTGGGTGGATCATGAGGTCAGGAGTTTGAGACTAGCCTGGCCAACATGGTGAAACCCTGTCCCTACTAAAAATTCAAAATTATCCAGGCGTGGTGGTACATGCCTGTAATCCCAGCTAATTGACAGGCTGAGGTGGGAGAATTGCTTGAACACGGGAGGCAGATGTTGCAGTGAGCCGAGACTGCACCACTGCACTCCAGCCTGGGTGACACAGCAAGACTCCATCTTAGGGGGATAAAAAAGCTGAAAGGAAACCATTTGAATAAATCGAATGGCCATGGAGAATTAGGTGAGACCTATCATAACCATGTGACCTGCTTTTTTTTAACAAAAAATTTTGTATTGGGTCTCAGCTTTTGCGGAGGAATTTATCCGGGTGTAGCATGAAAAGGATAGCCATAAGAAATTAAAAATTGCTGGGATTGCAGGCATGTGACACCATGCTTGGGTAATTTTGTATTTTTGGTAGAGACAGGCTTTCTCCATGTTGGTCAGGCTGGTCTCTAACTCCCGACCTCGGGTGATCCGCCCACCTCAGCCTCCCAAAGTGCTGAGATTACAGTTGTGAG